TAGAATCGAAGATATAAAGATTGATGTTAAAATCAGCACATATGCAACCATTTCTCATAGGAACATTTTTTATTTTGCAAACTCAAACTTTTAAAATTGTGTTTTCAAAGTGTAATGTATTATATTTAAAACCAAAAATTACTTGAATCATTGCAAGTAGTAGTCAATCTAGTATTTTGTATTATCAAGTGTATTAATCAGATCTCTTAGTTGTCTCGTGTTATTGTCGTAGAAAACGTATTATCATATAACTATCATCATGAAAAGAAAATCATTAAACCCTAAATATACTCAGAATACAGTATGTGATGTGGCTACTGTTTGATGTTGAGAATGCAAATGCACATACTAGAAACTTTTCATTTCTTTATCCATTTGTGATATTATAAGCTAAACCACGGCTGTTGTTCATTCTTTCACTGATATCTCCTCCGGTCGAAACGTTGATTTGTCGACTGACTGGAAATTTATAATGAATTCCAGTGAAGTTTAATAACGTAGAGACTCAGTTTAAGATTACAGCCAAAAATGTAAACAGTGCAAGGCTGGTGTTCCTCTTACATGAGGAAAGACTCAAATTGGAGGTCCTTGAATCCACGTGAAAAAGTCACTCATTTGGTAGCTGTTCGCGGAAATAGCTATCTGTACCACTGAAAGGTGTTTTTCTTTTGAGGTTTCATCAGACTGAGATCAGAAATGAGTTCACCAAGTCCGACTCCATCCAACCGCTAAACTAGGAAGCTTGAGGAATCATTTCAGCATTCCATTCTCTCGTGTCTCACTCCTAGTCAGTTTGTCCGCTGATGCATCAAGAAACAACTGGCACCGATGCATACAACGACAGAAAATCCAAGGAGAGCACATTGAGAGACCTACTGGTAAGCCATTAATTAGCTGAATCATTTAATAGATACTCTCACCTAATAATGTTAGCGTTACAAACCATCTGAAATTTCAAGATCAAGACACTGAAGAAACTTGTTATTCAATTTGGCACTATGCGAGAACTAGTTCTAAAGTTCGAAAGCAACGAGTTGTTATCTCTGATGACACAAACCTTCACCTCAGACGTACAGCGCGAGATTGCACTATCATTTTTTATTCTACAGCTCGACTAAAATATTTGAACTGAAATTTCACACTTGATCAGTTAAAAGAAAGAATGTAACAAATGACACGCATGCTCACCGCCGTCCACTACTTTACTCGAACTATCTCAAACGGACCTCCCGCACAGGGCATCTCATGCTTCAGTAATAGAATATATGTTAAAAAAAGATGTAGGTAGATGGCAGATGAGAATAATACATACCCTCTTCTAACTCTTTTATGCTAGAAACAAAGGCTAAAAACAAAGATCATTAATAAAAATTGCAATGTTTTCGGGTGAAAGTTGTGTATGGAAAAAGTCACGTTGAACAACTTAAGTGACAGAAAGACGATGAACTTCAGTGAGTCAACGAAAACATTCAATTTGCTGTGTTCAAATCGATCACCGAAGCTGCCAAATTGGAATTATAATAAAATGGGACAAGAAGCATACACGCAATAAACTATACATTTTAACGTATCTTTATAGAAAAAATGGCTTGCACCATTGAATGGATTTTTACAGTGTAAAATTACAATGGACAATAAACAATCTGTACCCGCTCGTCTAAATTGTATGCCGCAAATTCACTTACGAGAGGACAAAAATTGGATACATCATCACTATGATTAGAAAACAACGATATACATGCGTCACTTCCAAGTAGCAGAACCCCAGATTCACCCGAGAGTTTGTGCGTCACTGACTACACACCACACCTTCCTTACTTAGACTCAACCATGAAAAGTGAGTTATAACTCCAAGGACCACTCAAAATAGCAAGGAAGAAGCGTTCCGGGTGTTTTGCTTTGTATACAGTTTTGCGTTCACTGTATACTACACACACATTTCTTCACACTCCGAAACTTAACTTAACCACGATAAGCCAACTGGGGTTGTAAGAGCCATTGTGGTAGCACATAGCTGAGAAAGAAAGCACGGCTCTTGCAGTACTTTCTCAGCTATATGCTACCACAATGGCTGAGAAACCACTGCAAGATCCGCTGTGGTTGCAAATAGCCCAGAAAAGCACGTAACGTATCTCCTTGAGTCTATGCGTTGTTCACAAATATACTTCTGTACATATTCTCGCTCTTCCTTCTGCTATCTTCTATGATCAGTATTTTTCTCTCGCATACATGATTTCTACTGATATTCATAATTCCCTGATTTCATTACCTCAATTCACGTTTAGACCATGTATTTCATATTTCTCTCTTTCTTATTTATCGCGATCAATATTGAACGTTTTTTTTCGTTCATCGTTCATTAACTTTATTTATCATAATGTGGGGCATTTGGATGACAATCATGAGTATTTAACAGACAAGTCTTATTCCTGGAAAGTGATGTTCCGAGATAACAGATCTACCACTTTTTGAACTAATTATAAGCTTTGTGCAATTTTCTTGCACAGTTCTTTCAATTGTATCCAAACTGTAAATACGTCTGTACCTAGTAGCTTCACAACGATGTTCATTTATTACAGCCATACCAATCCGGTCTGCAACGCGGCGAGCGCGCAAGACGTTAGCACAATTAAACGCACAACATTTTAGCATAAAACATACAACATGATGTCTCAGAACTTACATCATGTCTATGGAAAGTAAGAGGGTTGAACAGAACAACTTTAAGGTAGAACATCAGAGTACTATTAAACCTGTAAAAAAAAATATGGATGAAAGTTACGTTTGCAGAGAAAGATTCGTAAGTAGAACAACCGTAGCACCGCCAAGAACATAGCTCAAGACGACGTCAGGAACCAGGTTTGGGATGACCTCCAATCACAATGTTGCTTGTACGACATGCAGAAGAGTGAACTGCAATACCTGGAGTTCATTTGCTGTCATCAAAACACAAGCATTCAACTGTATCTCTAATCAACGTACAGAGTTATATATATGAATTCTTGCGAAGCCGAGATTTGGAAGAGCAACAAATGCTTGTCTCCGTCAACAATAATGAGCGACAGGAATATGGGTACATAGTAGTATACTCTGCAGTCAAAACATCCATAGTGAAATAAAAAAGGTTACCCGCCAGTATTAATAGTCCAAATTCAAGATCCATAGCATTACACCCTGAAATTGCAGAAGTAAGAATTTTCTATAAGTTGTTGTAACCAAATATATCATCAGAAAGTAAATTTTCAACAATGTTGAAAAGCTGCTTGTGTGCACAAGAATACCCGTTAATTTAGCTGTTACTAAATTGTTTACTGTACACTGATATTATAGATATACAAGAACATTAACTTTTTGTACGATAGAACTATCGATGTTTTGATCATTGTATGATCACGAGAATACAGCGCATCATGATAAGCAAACAGCGGTATGAAGCAATGAGCAGCGAGTCAGTGAACCTCAGAACTCAGCCCAGGTGCGAGAAAATTCACTGAAGGCTTGACAACCCAAAAAACCTTTCATTGATGACAGTGCTCGCGCCTCTTCTATCGATCACAAGATCAGTGGAACTATGACTTGAGAAAGCAAGGCATTCCTCGCACCCACTTATATGAAGGTATGAAGCAATGAGCAGCGAGTCAGTGAACCTCAGAACTCAGCCCAGGTGCGAGAAAATTCACTGAAGGCTTGACAACCCAAAAAACCTTTCATTGATGACAGTGCTCGCGCCTCTTCTATCGATCACAAGATCAGTGGAACTATGACTTGAGAAAGCAAGGCATTCCTCGCACCCACTTGGGCATAATTGAATTGGGTAGCAGTTAGTAATCATCTCGCAGTAACGTTGATGCGCCATCGCTTCGTCGCGATGTTCAGAACCTCGGCCTATACGTACTATACGAACCACGGACACGCAACTTAAACTAAGGACGTATCAACTCAGAACACAATGATAAGAATGTAACTGAGAGACCAACTTCATACGCTACATATTCGGCATTGAACAATGGAAAACTGTTCGACCACAAAGGAAAGATACTCGACACTAATGGATGAACCGTTGGTATACCAGACGTGGCCCTGAATCCGTCACTAGCAGTGTAAAATTACAGCTATACATCGCTTAATTATATCCACACATATACTTCGCGTCCTTCGAAATAAAATAACCTCTAGAGGATTTTGCTTCAACCTTAGCTGAAATGCAACTGCTCCCAATATCCCCGAAAGGTTACATTATTTCCCAAACTCTGAGTACAGATTGCTTCACCTTTTGATATCCAAAATCTATTCGATTTGCAATGTCGTAGAAGAGGTCTTGCACAGAAGTAGATTTGTGAAAGTGAATCGCCAAAAATGAACTAGCGTACAACGTAATAACGAAGCAATACACATACTAACATATCTTACAGAGATATTACTGAGATGAAATATGCTCAGGTAAATCATGAACAACAATCATGGGAAATGTCCAATAAGAAAGTACATACCATTCCCACATTTGAGAGGATACTGCAACAAACAAAACCTGTTGATGCTTCCTGAATCTCCTTGAACCACCCTATAGAAGTGAATTTCCCCTCGATGACCATGGTTGCGTGAGAAAAAACTCAAGAACAGATATCCTTCGAAGCTGCAAGGGCCGATTCAATCCGATACCAGGACCTCCGCAAAATGAGAAAGATACAAACTGCCAGCCTTCCACAACGGAATGAAGACACACAACCGTCGCATAACAGGACAACAGTCGCGGAATGTAGACAAATAACTGTCGCATAACAGGACATAGTCGCGTGCACCGCGCCCACAGTACCACGGTGAACTTGAGCATCCCTCTCGCGTGTAAAAAAAGGATAATGAATCAAAGTGATTGTTGCAACATGCACTGAATTCGAAAATGAATGACCAGAATAAGCTCATCATAACCCCAGCCTGGAACGGAGCTGAAACATTACGATGTCATTTGACACATTAGAGACAAGTGACATGCACTCATGTTAGAAACAAAAGAATTTCCAATCGAGAATATGAGATTTTTTTCGTCTAAATATCGAAGAAAATGGTTGGAGCTGGTCGCCATGGGGAATAAAGCTAAGCTGGCCAAGTATGGCAGATTTCTGTACAGTGTTGGCAGATGGATGATGAAGCGCTTCATGATGACAATCGTGAAGCAAGATCCTCCACAGGGTTGCTTGGAATGAAACCGGAATCTACCTTTCAATCCTAAACCTGACTGACTATCCACTGAACCCTCTGACTAATGTATGGTACATCGAAAACTGGAAGACTGTCTTGCCACTGCTGGCTTCCTCACCATGAACTAAGCGTTTGCCTCTACTAGTCTTTACTACCAACCAACATAAATCCAGAAACTACAAGAAGAGCTATCAACCCTCTCCTTGCGTGGACACCACAGAGGCAGGTGTCTCTTGATTTAACGACTGATCAGGAACACCCTTTGATGGTTCATGGGATGTTTGCTGATGGGGCGTCTCAGACGTAGGCTCCCCCGTGGGAGGAGTATCATCCCCCATTGCATTTCCATGATCTTGCTCAAGGGGTTGGTCAGGAACACTGGGATCTTCTGGAGAAGTCACAGTCTGCCCTGTACCAAGGTCAGCAGCACTATCAAAGTGGCCGCTTTTCATCTTCTCCCGATAATCACGCATCTCCCTTTTGAATCTCTCCTTGTCTTTCACACCTCGTTCTTGGTAGGGCTGCATGCAAATGGAACGTTCAGAACTCCTGAGCTACAAAATCGGGACCTATAGACATCGTGGCAAAAACACACTATTTTAGCAGCCAAAGACATTCTCAACTGATTTTGTGGAAGTTCCCAAACAGGGCATTTAGCGGGCATAGTAGACCACATCGGAGATGGAGAGCTTCATCTTGTAGGATCTGTTCAAGGAGGGCTCATCTCCCAAATTTACTCCGAATAATTAGGAAAACACATCAATGTTGAAGGTAAAACTAAATAATCCCCCAAAAAAACACTAAAACTTGCTATTCACTTTCGGCAGTTTACGTAGGCAACCAAGAGAGTCGACCTTGCGTGTGACTGGTACTCTTTGAAAGTGAATAGCAAGTCTAGGTCCCATTTTGACCCTCCTTCGCTTAAGTCTGTATAAGCGGACGATGATTCTCACAAGTATACCTCATCACATGTAGATATCAGTGTGATTCACATCAAAGGTTCCGAGTGCAACATTGACATTGGGTCCAGATATTGCCGTCTTACCTTTTCAAGCTCTAAAGGAAAAAGTATTAGACTTCAAGTCTAATGATAGACTTGAAGGGAACATCAGACAGAGGTAAAGTAGAATAGCAACATATCTTAAAGCAAGAGCTTTAGTTTAAATTTATCCCCTGGACATACTTTTAAGAATGGCAGGAGACAGCAGACGATCAATTTCATCTCACAAGCTCTCAAAGTAGGATGTTGCATCTTGCTTTCCATCTTGCACACACATGGGACGTATCTGTCCCAGTTCAAAAGCAAATTAAGAACATGACAAAACGATTTTGGATGACATTTGGAAAAGCACATCGTCATGCTTCAAGTTCAACTCTGACAACATACATGACATTGTCAGCTTTTGAGCCATAACCGGGTTTTACTATGCCCATTAAATGCCCTGTTTGACTCACCGTTTTTTGCTCCTCAGAAAGACTGTTCCAAGCTTCGCCTATCATTCGACTGATATCTCGATCCTTATCAGGATGCAGAGCCTTCAATCGCTGACGTTGTTCAGCGAAAAAGAAATTGTACCCTGTCCGGTTTGGCCTCGGAGCATTTGGGTCCTTCTTTGGCATCTCCTCCTTTCTCCTTCTTTTGCGACGAGCGGTGCTCTCCACAGTGGTCTTTGCGGCGTCCACGTTAACACTGGCCAGCAGGGTTGGAAGATTCGTGAACTGAGATGGGACTTTCACTCCGGTGGGAACGTGATACAGAACACCTTTGAGCTTCTCTCCACCGACAACCATTGTAATCAAGTATCCAAAGTCAAGTTTTGCCTCAATTGAGCCCTTGCATGACGTTCCAATAGCCTCCGCGGGGTCCACTGCAATAAACAGAAATCTCGAATTATGTACTAAAAAAGAGAGAAATAGCTAATGAAGACGTAGAGAAGAACAGAAAGAGAGAAATATGTAATTTTTTTAAAAAAAACCTCTGTTATAGGTAGACAACATGTTACTTGAAACGTTTGTCTCTAGTCAAATATCCGAGGCAAACCTTGAGGAATGAGCGGCATTTGTATCTTCCGCTTTCTTGGTCTTTTTTTGGTGACTTGATCACCACCCTCTGAAAGTGCTGGATCACCACCAGGTTGGACAGACGGGCTTGACCCAGGTAAAGTTGCTGCATGGTAATTAATTGATTACTCCTCATCAGCTTTGCTAACATAAGAGCAACCAACACCTCATTCCCACCTACGAATTTGCACATCTAGTTCTGATCAAACAAGGTACCAAAGCTCCAGAAAGTAGCAGAATCTCCAACTGCAAATGTCTTCTTTCAGACATGCGGTAGTGATATTTTCTGTTCTCATGAGAGGACACGGAAATAAGCGAGTCTTTTAGAAGAAATAAAAGTTCAATATGTATATGAAAAAAGTTCACTCCGAAGCAAGATAAAATCGTAAGTACGTTCTCGGCCAACCCACAGCCGTGTGAAACAAAATTTCTTGGCTAGAGGAGAACAAAAAACCAAAGAGGTTCAACAAGGATACAACTTCAAAATGCCCTTCAACACGTCACTGATCTGGAAGAATGCCCTACTGTGAAAAACTCATACCTGGTGGAGGAATAAGAGGTCCTTTGGCTCCGTTCTTGTAAACTTGTTCAAAATGATGCAGCAAATTTACATAGTACTTCCGAAGGACATATGACGCACTAGTTGTAGTGCGAGGAAACTCAAAAGCACCTGTGATTTCCTTCCACTTCCTGTCTCTGATGACCTTACGGATATCAGAGTGGCAATAGCATACGATAACGAGGTCAAGAACTGAGCAGTGCAAGCGAACATTAAAATGAACTTCACTGAAAGTGACTTTACTTCGAGACTTTACACTTGTCAAGAACTCGCACCACTTGATGACTATATAACTCGTGCAAAATGTAACACGTGACATTATATACATTGGACAGACCTGTTGCAAGCCTCCACGAGCTGTTACTTCTTTGTACAGAAGGTGTACGTTCAAGTCTTTCCCGCCCATTTTCGGAATCCTGCCCAAAAGCAACTCCGTCTATTCAATCATGAAACTTTTGGCAGCTTAAGTCAACAGAAATGCGATTCCACTGTCAAGTTTCAAAACTTACGTTGGCTTCGACTTCAAAGCTTCGTGGAATTTGTAGAAAGAATCCATAAAAAGTCTCTCATCACTTATAACTGCCTCGTTAGAGGCGACAGCAGCTGGATATTCTTGCTGGTTGATTGCAGGAACGAGCGTCTGAGGGGTGGCAACTTGAGGAGTTGGTGCGACTTGACTGGTCGTTACAGGAGCAGGCGTACTGAGAACAGCCACAGGGCTCTCCTTCGCGTCCACCATTACAGTGTCAGCATTTTTAGCTGGTGTTTGTACCGAAGGTGGCACATTTGCTACAGCCGCTTCGGTCGCCATTTTGAAATCGCAACCTCTTCAGCAATTGGTATCAAGCATAAGAGAACCTGCACACTCCAATAATCCGCATAGACTCAGAAATGAGCCAATAATTTTCCATCACTTCTCCATAAATTGTGACGCCCCTTGGGCACCACAAGTCTTCAAGCTCTGTGAGTCTGATTGGATCGCAAATATCGTTTGAAGTATTGCACTTTTAGCCTGAAATCCCTCAGCTTACTCGACAAGCGGCCTTTCCTGACCTTACAATGTGCAGAATGCAAAAAGTATCAACACACCTGCAGACACCCAACATCCCTAACCTTCAACATCGCCTGATAAAATACAGAAGGACGGGCTTTCCGCGCGAAAGAAAGCTCGAGGTTATTGAACTGACTTCGCAAAATTCATGAAGGGCCTCCTATCACACATTCCTTGTGTGAGAAGGTCATATGCAGAAGCGAAGTAAAATACATAAAAATATAACGTGGATAATTCAGATGCTTTTCCCATGCCTTCACGTAAGTCGAAAGCCATGTAAGCATACGTAAGTCGAAAGTCACTTCTGACTTTCGCATCATTCCAGCTCTTAGAGATAGAGCATGACTGCGCAATTGAGATGCTAAAAAACCAACCCAAAAAAAAACCCTCCAGGGTGTTTTCTGGTACAGAAGTGTGTCTAACCAAGAGGACATAGCACAGGTCACTCCTGTACGATCAGCAAAGCTATCTCTTCACAGACAACAAGCACGAGCTCGGACCTCCCACGCTCGCAGGAAACTAGAGGCACCATGACAGGTTCTGTATAAAGCGAAATTCCGAGCGGATTTCAATCTCCTAGACGACGACATGATTCATTCATCACAGGAGTACAGATAAATCTCCCAACCTCGACGCACAAAGCTTCGGATCCCACTGATAAAGACGTGCGCGTATCACATTTCCTATCGTCAATCATAATTTTCCTGAGATGAAAAATCTCGGAGACGCAACTCTGCCCAAACACCGAAAACACCAAATTTCTCCTGCCTACAGGTAAGCCTGAAGAAAATATTAAACAATACCCGAAAGACGTCGCAACGCTTGCGGGGAGCGCCACATGAAACCACCGTCTGAACCAAAATTGAAGAAATGTTTGTAGTATTGAGCTTCTTTCGGGCTTCCCTCCCTTTGAGAAACGCAAGTTCGAAAAGGCATGAGAAATAATCCTCCGAAAAGCGGGACGGTGTGAGTTATTTAGGGTTGGGAAAGCTGGCGACCCGCTATTGGAGGTCCGTCCGCGTGGGCCGACGGTGTTCTGTTCCATCATGTGCTGGACTGCCGTCCCTAACGGTCGCCGTCCCCGAATTTTCTCCTTCGAGTTAAACTCGACCAATGATTTCCCGATACTACAAATCGTCCAATTCGTTGTTTGCCCAGTTCCCCAGCAAGTACACAAATCTCTATTTTAAGCGCACATTTTTAACGCTCGGTTCCCTCAACTCCTCTTCAACGCCCAACGTCTCTAATTTCGCACAGTCAACGGAAATTCGAATACATCTATACTCAAGCGTCACATTTCACCATACGCTCCACCTCAAAATGCTTTCATAAGTCTAAAAATAGTCTCGAATTGTTTGCGTATATCCTCACTCCGCTTTATTTCACAGGCTTGAGTGTACCAGCTTCGATCTGCGAATAAATATTTAATCTCCAAATTCAGACTTTTAACGCTCCCGAACTTACTTTAATAATTCTACAAAGATTACAACATCAAAGATGATACAAATTCACTGTCTCTTGAAATATATTTGACCGAGACAGTTAAAAAGTGAACTAGATAATTCTGCTTTTTCTGTTGAATTAATTTAGATTCTAAAATCATAGTCCGAGGATTTATCCTTGGACAATAGTACGATTGATGGGAATTCGTTGTCTGGGTATTAAAAACAGACCGGATGTTTTTCAATTGCTTGAATAAATTACAGTCACATATTGAAAAATACCGTAATGAATAAAGTGAATATTAATAATCAAGAAAAATTCACACGAATAATCTAAAAAACTCAACATGAAACATAACCGCAACAATATTTTCTTAATATAATATTCACTTTTGGAAACAAATTGTAGGCATAAATGCAAACGCCCAAATTGCTGATATGTGACATGGAATCCTTTTCAATAATGTATACACCAATTATTGTGATCTCTAAGTATATATATTTATATTTTATTCATAAGTCTTTTATAATAAATCGCTTCTAAGTAAAGATGATTTTATCTCATATATAAATACCTCTCAATCTCAATAAGATAATAAATGCATGAAAATTTATAGTTCAAGCCTTCAGATCATACTTATATAAAGTCTAAAACAAAGTGTATTTATGAAATAAAAAAATATATGAGATTGATTAGATTTATCATTTAGCAATTTTGAGTTCGAAAAAACAATAAAAAATAATTACAAAAAATTTAACATGAAATAAAATTTTACGACTTGATAAATTTTTTTGTGAATAATTAATATTTTTTAGTAGAAAAACAATGATTTCTGAATGAACTTTTTTTCAAGAAAATTTATTTTTTTATTATTGTTAGTTTTTGATTGATTATATTATACATAAAATAATAATTTATATAAAAAAATATTTTGTTGTAACTAACACTATTTTAACTATATTATGTTTCATTTGATATTTTAAATAATATTTAAGAACATGATATTTGATGATATATTGATATATTAATATCTTTCAAAAGATTATGGCAAGATATGTGATAAATTTTGGATATCTGATAAATATTGTAAATATTAATTCAATTTAAAAAAAAATTTATATTTTTCACAAATATTAATAGATATATCTTAATATTACAAAAATTTATAAAAAAATACAAGGAGTTGAACTCTATCACTCAATAATCAACGCATTGAAAAATACATACCCGAAGCTCAGTAAACTCAAATTTATTTACGAATATGTGATTTCCACATACAAAGTGTTATTTGTAGTTTTTAGGTGTTTATCTAATATAAAAGATATACATTATGTGTTTCTCAAATGAGATATGTGACACATTTGGGATAATGTTTCACATGCTATGCCATGTGATTCTAATTTGAGAAACACATCATCAGTGAGATCTCCCAGTACAGACAAATTAATAAGACCGACACTAACTCGCTGTCCCATATGAAAATTCAAACACGTTCACTCTAAATATGAACTTTTCCGGTTTGAATTTCACTTTGAAATTGACTCACACTTATTTGAGGCAGTCTTGGTGTATGAGCTTGTAACGTGATATCCTAATAAGTGATAATCTAGAACTTGTACTATTTGTAAATAATCCAAAAAATCATAGCTAGGACTAATGCCAGCTTGTCCACGAGGAGTGACCATTAGAGTATTTGTTTTCTTAACCTGGCCTAGGATTTTGTCTCAATCTCAATAAGATAATAAACGCATTAAAATCTAAAGTTCAAACCTTCAATTCAATATATATTTATAAAGTATAAAACAAAGTGCATTCATGAAATAGTTTTATTTAAAAGATAAAAAATATGAGAAAGATTCAATTTATCTTATAAACATTTTGCGTTCTTAAAAACATATGTAAATTTACTTAATAAAAATTTAACATGAAATAAAATTTTCATGACTTGATATATTTTGTTTGTAAATAATTAATAATTTTTAGTGAAAGAATGATTTCTGAATGATCTATTTTTATAAAAAAGTATACATTTTCAATTATTATTATTTCTTGATTAATTAAATTATATAAATAATAAATATTTGCTAGCTACAAGTGTTTTTACTAGACTCTGTTTCAATTATATTTAAAATAAGATTTGAAACATGATATTTGATGATATATTAATATCTATCCAAAGATCATGGTAATTTATGATAAATTTTGGATATCTGATATAAATTATAAATATTTATTCAATTTAAAAATATTAATATTTTTCATAAATATCATTACATATATCTTGAATATTATAAAAAATTATACAATAATAAAAGTAGTTGAATTCTATCACTCAATGATCAACGCATTGAAAAATACATACCCGAAGCTCAGTAAACTCAAATTTATTTACGAATATGTGATTTGCACATACAAAGTGTTATTTGTAGTTTTTAGGTATTTATCTAGTATAAAAGATATGCATTATGTGTGTCTCAAATGAGATATGTGACACATTTGGGATAATGTTTCACATGCTAAGCCATGCGATTCTAATTTGAGAAACACATCATCAGTGAGATCTCCCAGTACAGACAAATTAATAATACCGACCCAAACTCGATGTTCCATTTGAAAATTCAAACACGTTCACTCTAAATATGAACTTTTCCGGTTTGAATTTCACTTTGAGATTGACTCACACTTATTTGAGGCAGTCTTGGTGTATGAGCTTGTAACGTGATATCCTAATAAGTGATAATCTAGAACTTGTACTATTTGTAAATAATCCAAAAAATCATAGCTAGGACTAATGCCAGCTTGTCCACGAGGAGTGACCATTAAAGAATTTGTTTTCTAAACCTAGCCTAGGATTTTGCTACAGGTACAGTAGACTTGTCATGAACGAACTGTAACTGCTTCCTGTAACTGCTCGCCTTACTTACATTCTGAAGCTACATTATTGACTTTCCACATATAGGAGCGTCACATTTCACGATACGCTCTACCTCAAAATGCTTTCACAAGTCTAAAAATAGTCTCGAATTGTTTGCGTACATCCTCACTCTGCTTTATTTCACAGGCTTGCGTGTACCAGCTTCGATATGCGAATAAATACTTAATCTCCAAATTCAGACTTTTAACGCTCCCGAATTTACTTTACTAATTCTACAAAGATTACAAAATCAAATATTCTACAAAATCACTGTCTCTTGAAGTATATCTGACCGAGACAGTTAAAACTTGAACTGGATAATTATGCTTTTTTTGTTGCATTAATTTAGATTCTATAATTATGGTCCAAGGATTTATCCTTGGACAATAATACGATTGATGGGAACTCGTTGTCTAACCTAAAATTTTAGGCTAAACCTAAGCGCTAAGCGTTTAAAATTGACCAGCATCTCGCATTTAGGTCAATTTTAGGTTTAGCCCTCACGCTTAACGCTTGACCTAAAATTCTGGTCAATTTTAAATAGACCACAGGCTCGCTTTTAGGAGGAAGTGTAGAGCTCTGGGGCTCATCGACGAGGCATACTGACTTAACTTTGGACACAACACGAAGCTGAGGGTCGAGAATGGGACTTGTCAACGTTACTGACCAATCTCGTTTTCGACCTTCTGCTTCATGTTGTCAACAAAAAGGTAGAGAGCTTGTTACACTAACAAGAGGTGAAGGGTGGTGACTAACTTAACTTTGGACACAACACGAAGCTGAGGGTCGAGAATGGGATTTGTCAACGTTACTGACCAGTCTCGTTCTCGACCTTCTGCTTCATGTTGTCAACAAAAAGGTGAAGGGCAACTCCTGTTTTGCACGTCTTTACCACGAGTGATTCCATTTAATGCATTAAAACGTTGGTTGCTTGTGGATACAGAGTTTCACATTATGATCCGCTCGACAGCCTACACCCATTATACGGATATGGTGATATTTGTAAGATACGTTCTTAAGTATTTCGACGGCAATGTCACCACTTGAATTGGAGCTTTCCGTTGTCACAGGTCATTCGACCTATCTCTGCGGGCCAAAAGCTCTGTTCTACGAACCCCAACTATGCTTCAATATTTTCATATCATTTGTCAACTGCATTGAATATGTCTTCGGGAACTTTCTCGAGCTTAGTGAAACTCACCACTCAAGGCCTCCTCGCTTCCCTGCCTACGTGGAGCCAGTCCGGGCGTTGATTAAGTAATGAATTAAACAAGAAGATTGGGTACGATGGGCAGGCAGAACTTTAAAAAACACTGTGACAATCTTTAGGGTTCAGTTCAGGATTTAGGGCACACACAAAACTATCAATCTCAGAGGATTCAAACAATACGGCACGAAATCATCACTCCAGAATAAAGAAAGTGATAGATTGTGTAACGTTTACATTCAGGACCCTTCACAGGAACTCACCAACAAAAGGGTCTGCTAACGAAAGAACGCCTTCAGCATTATTTCTTCGTTCACACACGAGAGATTGCATTACAAAGATGTAATTCATACACACTTTTCTTACAGCCATTTACACCTTGTAACCCATATTTTGCTAGTACACAAGTTTATTCCAAAGTAAGACTAGTAATCAAGAAGGTTTAGGGTTAGGGTTTAAATGGACTAGATTTTGTGAGTAATCCTCCGGCTTCAGAGGGTTCGAAAGAGAATTGATCTACTTACAAATGTACTCTCCAAATAAACTTATAAGTCGTGGACCAGAACACCGTCCAAATAAAGGCAAACTCTTTACTTAACCCCGTGAGGGTCTTCTCTTCCCTTAAATATATATTCAGATCTTTGGTTCCCTTCGGGTATGAAAGACATCGAACAAACCCTAACAACGAGAATGCGACTTTTAAAGATAACAACAATGTACAGTATGGTACAGAGACCAAGTCTTTACTGAGTCGTCTCCCAAATCCAAACTACGGTAGATTATGGTAAGAAATCCCACATGTGAGCAATGAGTTCACTATGTTGCCCAAGGGGCAGACGGGAAAAATAGAACTGCAATTAATGCAGTTCAAGAATCGGGTATGACCAATAAGGCAGCCGTAATTTCGATTACTTCCTTACAGCGAATGCACGCGCTTGATGTTCTCAGCAGAAGCCATAACGAGGTACGACTCACTATCGTGTATGTTCTTCATGGGCGTACAAGCACCAATCTTAGTGCACAGAACGTCTGCATCCAAAATAGTCTCCAGATTGGCGAGAAGGAAAGGTGCGTATTGCGCTACAATCATCTTGCACTGCAAAAAAACCACGAGATTAGCCAGAATACAGATGGCAGAGTCAGAGTAAAAGTAGACAAAACTGAATCCATTAGAATGCGCCTGCAGTTCACCTGAAGAACAGAACCGCCAGCTACAGGCTGCGCGGTACTAGTACCAATGGATGAATGAAACGCACAGATGGGATAGAAATGATTGAACGAACAACAGAGAGCAACTTGATGTTTTAAAGGGTTAATTTGCAGAGGGATTATATGGTGCGTACAATAGTCGCCAGAACTTAAGTAGACTGAATCCGGCCATATAAATAAAGACAAATGATCTAAGGCTGCACTGGACTTTCAGCTACATTTTCCAAAATCCAGTATCCGTCTACCAAACGTTATAGAGTATATCAACCCACTGGAGGAAAGGTTTTACCTCATCCACATGGTTGATCACTTTGTCACAACCATTTCCTAGTACCTCCAACAGCCTCTCCTGTGAGCCACAATAAGTTCGTCATTTTCTGAAAGTTCGCAAAAAATTCAGCGGAGGAGCGTAGCACCAAATAGAGTTCATAACTGTTTGACTACACATATAGACTCTGAGAAGAATAACACATTAAGTCGCCGGACCGGCCAGATCAATTTCTCTCATAGATCAATTCAAGATGACACTCATACGTCTAAGATGTAACCTAAATAATATTTACAGTGATAAAGTGGAAGAAAACTTGAGACATGGGAAGAGAATGTACCTGAGTTTTAGGATCTCGAAGCTTAAACTTCAACTCCAAGATCACAAACTGACAGATGGCACAGTCGTTACGCTTTTTAAGCTGGGTGGTAGCAAGGGCGGGCTTACACAGCCTTGTCATCTCGCAAAACTCCTCCGGGGTAAGATTGTTGAGGTGCTCCATAAGATCAGGGGCGTATACGTCTACAAGCAAATCGCACTGCCATACGCACCAAACAAAGCGGAACTTCAGTTTAATAAACTTTAATCTACAACTTCCATGGAAGTAGTCGTTTTCTGCAAAATAACTTCTTGCAATTGGGTACAAAAAATGCTGGTAAACATAGAAGCATACATGATTTATTTCCAATACTGCTTTGTGTAAAACATCAAATTTCCAAAATTGAAGAATAACAGACAGCGTGCCCAACCCCATTTCCAGTTGAAAACCAGACTCATATTAGACGAGTTACTTGTGCTTAGTTCGGCGTCTGAAAATTGTAGAATTTACGCTGAAATATAGGCCATGGAACATCGTCCCATGGACAAACCCCAGAGAGGATAATAAAGATTAAATCAAACCTGCTTGCTTAGTTCTTCAAGTCTGGAACAGGCGAGATGGAGAGCAACAATAATCTGAGTTTTTGTTCTGTTCGAACCCAAGTAGGTGAGAGCATCCGCAGCAAAATCTTGACAAAGAGCACAAGTCTTCGTATCTTTTCCGAACTGCAGTTGAGGTCTGCAGACCTTGACTTCTGTGCATAGTTCGGGCCGGAGATATGTCTGTAATGCAACCAGAAGATCTGGCACATATGTCTTCACCATAGACGTGCACTGCATCCACGCAAAAAATGCGTCAGAGACCAAGTAGATTTTAGTGATTGGTCCAACTCGAATCGACCTTGTCGACCAAAAATCTCGTATTCTAGAAACCTCGAGTCAGACTAGATTAATGTTCATACGAACGCAGTGGTAAATTTCAGTTCCAATTCTTGCTAGTTCCACTTCTTCCTAGATATATGAATGATTTAACCATCGAGGGAATAACCATCTTAATACAGATTAAAAACTGAATTGGAAGAAGCTCAGGATCCAAACCAAACATCACATATCATTTTGTCCTCCATTCTAGGACAAAAGGCATCGAAAGCTTGAATCACATCTTGGTAACTGACCTTGGCCTTCATCTTCGGGGTCATGAGACTATTACAAGCCACATGTGAGAATAACTCTTCGAGGGTTTTCTCGGTGTCAGGGTTATGCAAAACCAACTCTGCTTCGTTAGACAGTTGCAAACATGCTTCACAAACAAAATTCTGCTCGAGACCAGAATGAGAAACTGCCAGGAGTCCGTCGTACGCTCCCTTTTGTTCTGCAAGATGAAAATATGATATTTACTCAGTGGTCATCCATAATATGTTCTCCTAGTATCATGTAACTAATACCGGGAATGTTCGCAGAACATGGATATTTTCTTGTGAATGCTGTGAAACTTACAGTCGACCGTGAAGGTACCGGAACAGATGATAAATTTACGAGTGTAAGAAATCAAAAGTAACTTCTATTATGAATCAAGAGTACACCACATAGTCCAATAAACACCTTGGAAAGAAATATGGTTTTTGTATTCACAGATACCAATAGCATGACAGCTGTGGTACACTGTAAAAGGTGACTTCCAGACAATTCAAACTTCAGCAAGTTCGTTACACTAAGCAGTTACCAAGAACAGCTCAGTCCCCAGGTTAGTCACGTAGATACAGTGAGTGAACGAGATCGCAACAATGAAGTCAACCAGTGACTGTTTTAACAGAATCATTCCAGTTAGATGTTCAGCAAACCTGCATACATCAAAAACCAAAATAAAGAACGTTGACAAAACTTCCGCAAGAGCCTCAAGATACGATCGAACAGTGTTCAATTACTGACTTTGATAGCCTGCTTTTTACCTTCATGAACATTTCGCGCTGACACGAACAAACAAAGCCCAAACACAAAGCTCGCCGTAACGTAAAATTGGCTCCATCGCGCCATCTTCATACCTGCAAAACTTTGATCAGGTTTTGCTGGCACCATCCGTAATATATATAATATAATATATATATATAATATCAGCTTGACCCACCAATTTCCTATGAAAAAAAAGACTTCAAGAACCCTAAGTCGAGCATAGTTCTTCCCAACTACATCACTAAGAGAAAAACGAATGTAAAGGCAGGCCGGCTGTCCTCTCCCAACTTATGTAGTAAATATGACAACGACAGACGGAAGTCAACAAATTTATGCCTACTCTTTGATACCCAGAAATCTACTTCCTCGATCAGAAAAAGATGTGCCGTCTTAGAGAGTTCACAAATGTCTCCTCGACACTCCTCGTGGCAGGTTCAAACACATCAGTGCAAAAACACTCATGTGAAAGCCAAAAACAGAAAGGCCTTGATATCGCTACAATCCGCTTAAATGAAAGTTACAAGAACCGAATCCAACCTTAAAAAGTACACCAGTCTAAGCATGCGACACATAGCTAGAGAACTGGATGAAACTCTATGATGGCAAGACCCCTTAGACGACTGTATGAAAGAGGGACAACAACTCCTTGGCAAACATTGCAAGACGGGATATGTCTTCCAAGAGAAACCATCTCCGTGAGTGCCGCAATGCGTTCAACGCATTGCGGCAAGGATTGCGCCATCAATTGCAAACACCCACTCCTCTTGGAACAGTTGGAACAGGGGATCACTGATATGCCGAAATTGAAGAGAAAAACCTACTGAACTTGACATAATCAGAACAGACTGCTGACTCTAACTTTCAACAAGGTGGATCACCAACTTAGGTTCGGAGCACGACTACCCAGTCATGTCAAAGAACTGAACGCAAGAACTTCCCTAACTGAGCCATCTAAACTAAAGATCTAGAGTGAACGAGCAAACATGAATTGCAGGATCCAAACAAGGAAGAAAGCTACCCGTGAGCCCTCAGACCAAGCAGTGAGCACCGTGGGAAGTAAGAGACATCAAGCGATGAACCAGACGTACCACTGTCAGAAAGCTCCAATCGGCTAGACAGAATCAGAAACGGCTCACTCTTCAAAGACTAGCGACGAGACGGGATCAACTTCGTGCAGAGATCTCGAGTCGAAGCCCTTGCGCTGTAACCTGTCAGAAGCTTGCTCCTCTTTCACTCCCTCTGATGAATGTGCGATCTCGACCGTCAGCCGGTTTTGTTGCCTTCCTTGCCTTCCTCGCGACCCTGTTTGCGGTTTCATCCATCCACTCCGCATACGCTCTGTCGGAGTCTGACTTCTTCCGTCCGCTAGCGGCACCGCAGTCCCATTATGACTGGGAAACCGTAATGTGGACTCACAAGAGCGATCCACGCCATCGCCCACAACATCTAGTGGACTGTACACTTTCATGATTCTCACGCCAAAGTCACCTGTTTCTTCCTGCCGAAGTTTCTCCATTCGGACAGATATCAGTTTTCTATTACACATTTCTAATCTTATGATATTTCATTTTTTTTAAATACATCTATATATAAAATGTAAGATAATATTTCATAATTATGAAATATACATTCAAAATGATATGAAATATATAATAATGAATGTTAGTTATCCCTCACTTAGTATTAATTAACACTCACCTTAGTATACAAGATTCTTTGATTGGCCTTACACACTTCCCTAATTGCTACTCATGTGAGTAACCTATGATCTGCATCTACCAATAAGAGAAGAGCTAGAGTAGACTGAGAGTTAATTAGCCCTCATTCTACTCCAACTCTTCTTGCACCCTAAACAATATATCATAACCATTAGAATTCATTATGAAAATATCAAACATGTGACATGAAGTCAATATGGTATCCAAAACCTTATGACATATCAAACAATCTACTAGACTTACGGTATTTGAGAACATTTTATATGAAACATATTAAAAATGTGTGAGATATATTAACATAACATGACTTGCAACGAGTGGACACAAGAATAACTCTTTTCATTCCCACTTGAATTTACCCAAGCTAAAATGTACAAAATATGTACCAATTGATAGGCCTATAGGTTGTGCAAAGTCACGCAAGAACAAGATTTTTTATCTCTTTATCAACTCTATAAGAAATACCGATTCTACTCCCACAAGCTTGGGTACTAAAATCACTCTTATTTTGGTCAACATCTAACCACACATTGAGTAACTATGATTAACATATTACTTAAGAACAAGACAAACACCTAACAATATTTTCTTCAATCTGGTCAAAATCCTACTACAAATCTAATTATTTGGGGGAGCGGCTAGTTATACCTCACTTAGGGCTAATTAGCCATCACTCTACTCAAAGCTCTTCTCTCATTGAAAGATGCAAGATTTTAGTTTTCTTGGATGAGCAGCAATCAGGGTAGAATGTAGGATGTTCGACCAATCAGAGAATCGCGTATACTAGGATGAGGGCTAATTAGCCATAAGTGAGGGTCAACTAGCCTTTCCCTTATTTGGCATAGTTGAACACAAACACTTTTAGAGTATAAGAAGCCTTTGGGGATTTTTACAAACCGGATGTCAAATACCGTTAAGATAATCTGCGTGCCAAGTTGGGCGCCATATTTAGGCAAGGATAGTACTCCGAGTGGACTGGTTGGGTCAAGTATCACGACATTTGTTGTAAAGAGAACGCATGCCATTTCCTGACAACTTGATCCCATTGACAAACAGTGAGAAAGTAGATCCTTCGCTCAGGTTATTAGTTTTTTGTGCACTGGTGCTATTGCATAAGCTGTTGTAGTGGAACAACATGGAATCTACATTCTGAATGAAACAATTGTCTTTCAAAATTGTTAAAATTCAATTGAAATGAACCCTGTCGTGCTTTTTGCTCGAAAGCAATGAGCTACATGATTTTTATATTTTGCACCTTCAAAAACGAACGTGGCTTCAGCTTGAGATGACAGGGAGAAGTGGATACTCTCCATGCCCATACTCTTACTCACATTTTCATAGGAGGGAATTTTCAGCTTGAACAATGGAGAGTTGTCCCGCCGCTTGAAAGAATAGTGAGTGCATGAGCGAATGATTAGAGGGAAAACGCAATTGTTCTACTAGGAAGATTGCTTTCGATCGCCTTGGAAGATTGGCTTTCGTTTACTACCAACTAGCTTCGTTGGAAACCGCAACTATCGCCATAACGTGCTTCTTAACGTGAGATCACCACCAACAAGTTTTTGATTTTACCTTGCAAATCTACACAATGTATAAGAGGAATGTTATCCCTTTCAAATCTACACAATGTATAAGAGGAATGTTATCCCTTTCGCTTTCATATGTATGATGATATCTCGTATCATTGTCAAGAGACAATGGAGGAGTAGGAAGATGTTTTTGCAATTTTTCTATGCATTTAAGGGATTGTTGAAGCAGTTGTAAAAGAATTGAGGATGGTATTTCACAGTCGGGCTTCAAAACATATTTGACGTCAGAGAAGACATTAAGGATTTGAGTATACTGTCCTCTTGGAAACAAATTCAGAGCAAAAATTTGTAAGAAGTTTTCAAACTTTGCCAACGGCATTCAAATTTATTGTAGGATTAGTAGGTCCGGAGATGAAGAAGAATGCACGAGGTGGGAGAATTGAAGTTCAAGACAGGATAGCTATTGCTCTAAATCAACTAGGGACAAGAAATTATCTCATGATGTGTGGTGATCTGTACGGCATCAGTGAAGAGCTTGCTTCTATTATTATAAGAGAATTTTGTGCAAAACTTGTACGAATAGGAATTTTGTTGTTTGTGTCTAATTAGACTACAAGTAGTATTAAAGAGTTTGCTAGTCGGTTTGAAAAAATTCATGGGATTCCAAATATTATGAGGGCTATAGATTGCAGTCATATAGCAATAATTGCTCCACCTCAATACAAGGAAGTATTTTACAATAGGAAAGGCTTCCATTCATGCCTTCTGCAGGGGTTGTTGATCCGCGGTGTGTTTTTTGGGATTTTGATTTTGGTTGCGTAGGTTCCCAACATGATTATACTATCAAAAATTCTATATTTGAGAGACGAGTGATGAAATGCAGGTATTTTGCTCACAAATTAATTGGGGATGCAGCTTATCCTGTGAGGCCATACATGTATGTTCCTTACATAGAAATCAAGGAGGGTTTGGAACGGTGGAAAGTTCATTTGAATTTTTTACAATTGTCTACACAAATGTGTATGGAATGGGCGTTTGGTACTAAAAGGTTGGTAGAGAAATCTTCTCCGCAGGATCGAAATGCCATTACAACACACTGCAGATATCGTCGTCGCGTGCATTTTATTACACAATTTGTGTATAATGCACAAAGATTAGACCGATCATAATCTGCATTTAAAAGCAGAGGAGTGTCTGGAACAAGATTGGATTGGTCGGTATGGACAATTGATAAGGTATCCAAAGGATTGCAGATTAGGAAGTCATCAACTACATGCTGTTAGTAATGATAACTAAAATGCATTTTCAATACAAAACGGTGAGGAGGAGATCGAGTATTTTCCTTATGTCAATTCGAGAGAGTAGCCATACATTTGTTAAAAGAAGGTATAAATATGCATGACGTATTAGCTAAATTTTTGTTTATAGTGCATGTCATGCGAAGCATAGGAGAACATGATATTTATTGGAATTCAGACAATAATTTTTGTTAGAAGAATACCATGTATCACAATTTGTACAAGTTTTTCTCGATGAGTACAATACTCATCGTCGCTTCTAAATTAAATCCTTGTTCTTTGTGAGCTTTAACCTATCGGGTACATACACTAATCCTTAGATCACCGCCTATTGGACTGAGCTTAAATGATGTGCTACTATTAGTATGTTGTGTTGAATGCAAACACTGCAAGTGGATGGGAGGCACAGAAACGAGTATGTATGGTCAAATTAGATCATCTGAGGCACCAAGAATGGGTGTACGCTTTACATTCTTACTGAAAGTTGTTTTGGAATGTGAGCTAACCGGAACTGCTGAAGACTTGCATAATGAATGAACTGAGAGCAAACAAAATACCGAGAAGTGAAATTTGTGTTCATTCATTAGTTAGTTAAGAGAATGAAGGACGGACAGCGGGAGTGCAATATGAATATTGGAAACTGTGCGGAAGCATGGAGTGAAAAACAGTTTTCAATTCAACTTTGTGATAAGATCTCCCACCATTGTGACTGTGAACTTTCACGCTTAATAGTCTATGTACTAGGTCTTCTCTAGACTTCAGGTTACATTTGCACCTTCTATTCACATCACAAATTGTAAAACCTACGACGATTAAACGCCCAAGCTGGATCTATAAAGTCAAGCAGTGTTCATATAAGCTCGCAAACTATGGCAGGAAAGGCCATAAACAAGAACAAGGTAAGTATAAACCGTGAACAACATTTCTCCGGTTGATAGAAAAACATACACCAAGAAAAACACTAACGACACTACATTACCTTGATCAGAAGAGTAACATCATCTAATTTTCTTATGAAAAGACGCAATGCTCTTTCATACGCATCTTTCTTTAGAAGAGCATCACTTGATAGTTACTTCACGCTTGCATATCTAAGAAAGACCTAATTTAAAGGGGTTCTTTCCAGCAAACTTTTGAAAATACAAATACATGGTCGCATTTTGAGACATTTTGACTGGTAGGACGTCATAAGGCTTTTGTTGTTTTGTTAGTAGTAATCGACATGTACAGAGTATGTTGAATTCCAATATTTATGACTACATTTATGCTATCACTAAAGTGACAGCCTATACCCAAGGTTATGGCCAACTACAATTGGTAGGAATGTTCCGTCATTTGTCAATAAATACGGAGTCATCTGGCACTATAGCTTTCTTAAAATCATACTCGAAACTTTACTTGAATCAAAACTCCACAAAATACTAGCTTTCACTAAGTATATAAGACTACTGCACTTTTTCACCAATATATATATATATATATATATATATATATGAGAAAACAAATTCACTACTTGAGAAAATAATATGTCAATTGTCAGAAGAGCTATTTTTCTCCTACACTACGCCGATAAGTTGAGACATCAAAGATGGCATGTCCCAAGAATCTAATCGAGATCCATTCTTCTCTATCTTGTTCCCTATGTCTGCAACTGCATCAATTAAATTTTCCAAGATAGAGAACATCCTCTCTTGACCTTGTTTCACAATCGTTTTATACTTCGGTTGAGGTTTCAAAGGTGGTTCTTCGACACCACTTGTTACTTTCAAAACGGAGTACTCTACATTTTTTGGATTGTCAGTCCTCTCGGCAGACTTGTCTAGA